CCACCATCCATCCAGAGGGAGCAGAGAAATAGTCTCCTGGAAAACAGGACAGGAGTGTTATCCAACAGAAGCTGACGGATCAATAGCCGTGTGTTTTACTGTCAGCGTGAAATTAGATTTATATGTAATTTACAACAAACAGCCATCTCGAATGTCCACTAAAGCACTCATTAGTGTAAAGCACACTGCAGTATGTAAACGTCTGTTCTGGTGTCCCGAATTTCACTGCTCAAACCAGATTTCTAGGCAGTACTGGCATTGCCTTAGATGTTACTGAAACAGTGGCTTCATTTAAATGGTTTTTCTTTTCAGTATAATGATCATGTCTTGAAAATCTAGCTATTTATATGTTATATAAACTTAAGCACTGTAAAATGTATACCAAGCTACCTGTTTAAACTGAAATGTGGCTTTACAGTGTTCTTTTTCTAAAAAGGTGATAATATACCATGAATAAAGCCTGGATCAGACCTTCATTTTTTAAATCTGTCTGGTTTCACTGAAATTCTCAGAAAACGTGGAATCAAAACAACAATTGCTGATACATTGTTGAGGAATTCCTCATACAGATGCATACAGTACCTCAACAATAACAAGGGAAATTGCAATATTAATAAATTCAATGTATTGATCTAAACATAGTGGAGAGTGTACCAGTTACAATGATTCTGATGGTACGCAGCAAAGTCATTCAGATACTTCTAAAAAAATTAAATAAAATTGTTTTCTCAATGATTTTATACAGAATTACAAAATTCTGTATACAGTATGTAATTAAAAATGATAATTCTATTAGTGTTATACAGTATTGTGACATACAGTATCGTATTTGGAGTTGTGCATAAATATTGTACTTGATGAAGCTGTTGCTAGTACAGTGTTCAGTGTTATGCGATATGAATAGCACAGGAAAGCATAATGGATTAATAATTTAAAAATAACATTTAAAATTCTGACAGCCACACCACACAGTGGTATTTTAAGGATTAAGAGCACCACCTAGGAGTTTACAGATAAGTGCAGTCCTGCATCAGAGTATTTAAAAAAATAAGAAAGCAATGCGCTGGAGTCCATGACACCACAGTAAACCTGACACCCCGTGTCTAGATGGCTGCTTGTGTAATGCAAACTGTTTTAAACAACAATAAAGTTAACTGCATAATCCCCTAAGTATCACGCTTACAGGCTGCATAGACAACAATCAGATTGAATACATTTTAATCTTAAATTGTCAGGATGAATTAACACTTTATTACCT